GGTGACAGTGTTGCTAAACTTTCAGCCACTTCCCAGCAAAAATCTTTCCTCCAGCTTCGGATAACGTGTTCCTCACTTGCCTTCAAGCCCTCAGTGGCAGGCTCCTCATGGTTCAAATTCTGACTAATGCCTTGTTCAAGGCAATCCAGGCCTCCTCTGACGGGCCCTTCAAAGTCCTCGAGCCCTTGCTCACTGCCCAGTGCAAAAGCCCCTCTCCCATTTTAGGTTTTTGTTACAGCTACACCCCACACTCCTTATCAAAATCTTATTTGCTATCTATTTCTGGATAACAAATTACTGTAAAACTTTGAAGGTTAATACAAGTGTGTATTACTTCACATACTTTCCGAGGGTCAGGGGTTAGGGAATCACTTAGCTGGGTGGCTTTTGCTCAGCGTCTCTCATGAGGTTGCAGTCAAGATGTCACGCTGGGCTGCAGTCATCTGAAGGCTTGATTGGGACTAGAATATCCACTTCCAAGATCCCTCCCTTGGCTGTTGGCAAGAGGTCTGTTTCTTGCCATGTAGGCCTCTCCAGAGGGCTCCCCTCAAGAGCCAGTGACCTGAGAGAGAGAGAGCACAGCAACAACGGAAGCCACAGTATCGTTACAACCTAATGTTGGAAGTCACACATCATCATCTCCTCAATATCCTATTGTTACCAGGTCAGCCCTAGTCACCATAGTAGGGGAATAACCTAGGGTGTGAATACCAAGAGGTGAGGATCCTTGGGGGCCATCTTGGCAACTGGCTACCACAGAGTCCTTCTACCCATTTTACAGATGAGGAGACTGAGGCTCAGACCCTTGACCTCAGGCACACAACTCAGAAGTGGTGGAGCTGGGACTCTAGCCTGGGTCCACCCAAGGCCAAGGCTCATGCTCTTAACTCCCTCCTGCCCTCCGCAGGACGTCGATGCTCTGGACTTGGAGATGCTGGCCCCCTACATCTCCATGGATGATGACTTCCAGCTCAACTCCAGTGAGCAGCTACCCAGGGCCTACCACAGACCTCCAGGGGCTGTCCCCCGGCCCCGTGCACGGAGCTTCCACGGCATGTCGCCCCCAACCCCTGAGCCCTCCCTGCTGCCCCGCTGGGGGAGTGACCCCCGGCTGAGCTGTTCCAGCCCCTCCAGAGGGGACCCCTCAGCATCCTCCCCCATGGCTGGGGCTCGGAAGAGGTGAGCCACAGTACAGGTGGGATATAAAGAAGTGTAGAGGGAACTCCCTGGCGGTCCAGTGGTTAGGACTCCACGCTTTGACTGCTGAGGGTGTGGGTTCAATCCCTGGTCGGGGAACTAAGATCCTGTAAGCAGTGGCGTGGCAAAAAAAAAAAAAAAGAAGTGTAGAGAAGGTCCCTGACCCCATCTTTCTCCTGCCTCCTACTTCAGCCTCATCCCTCATTATTCCTCCTACCCTGACCTCTGCTCCAGCCAGGCCCGCAGTGTCCCCAGCACATGTCATGTTTGTTTCAAACTTTATATCTTTGCCTAGGCTGTGCCTTCCTTCTGGAGTGCCCTCCACCGTTCTCATTGTTTATCCAAATCCCACCAGTCAACCACGGCCCTCTCCTTTGGAATTTGTTTCTATCTGGCTTAGTAACAATTTTTGTCATAGTTCAGAGGACATTGCCACAGTGTCAGAGAAACTGTCTAGAACTAAGTTCCCTAACACCTTTGAATATCTGTTGAAAGCCATGGACCCTTCCCAAGAAGATTCACATGCACATATAGACACATGATCTCGCGTATAATTTCAGAGGATCCATGTCCCCCTTCCAAAGATGTTACACTACGAATACTCAAGTTTTTGCTCTCCAGATTGTAGGCGTGTGCCCATTTAGTCTCCAGGGTGGTCTCGTTACTATCCTTATAAGGCTTTCATGGATACATCTCATTATTTTCCAAGGCTTTCAGTTTGGAGCTGGATATACAGTGGGTGCCTAATAAAGAGTTGTGAAGTGAGAGAGGGAGGAAATTAGTGAATCTAGTAGTTGGATGGATGGCTGGCTGGATGGCTGAGTGGATGGACAGATAGGTGGACGGATGGAAGGATAGACGGATGGTAGTTGTACAGGTGGGTGGGTGGGTGGGTGACGGATCACTGGGTAGATGAATGGGAAGATGGACTGGCAGATGGATGAATGGATGGATTGGTGGGTGTATGAGTAAAGGAATAAATAGGTGCATGGGGGAGTGAATGAACGCTCATCACCTGCTCACACTGGTGCCCACACCTGCCCAGGTTTGCTGGGTTCTGAGATTCTTGCCTGTCTTCCTCCAGGGCCCTGGCCCAGAGCGCAGAGGACGAGGCAGAGGGGGTGGAGCTGCTGGGAGTGAGACCCCCCAAACGGTCCCCCAGCCCAGAACCCGAAAACTTCCTGCTGCCTCCCCTCAGCCTGGTATGTGTGGGGATTCGTGGGATTCTCTGGCCCTCAGAACCCAGCAGGCTTAAACCTAGTTTTTATAGATGGAAAAACAAGAGAGGCAGGGAGGGCCTGGCTGAAGGTCAAATGGACGGTCAGCCATCCAGCTAGGGCTAGGACCTTGATCTGCTGGTTCAGGCAACAGGTATGGAAGGGCTTTGCAAGTAGACGTAAGTTGGTGGTAGGTGCTAAGAAGAAAAAATAAGCAGGGTAAGGGGAGAAATGACAAGGGTGAATATCTCTAGGAATCTTCTCTGCTCCCACGGAACACTCCCTCCCAAACCTAGCACAGGTCTTGGCCTTTGATTATTAGTGTAGCTTTAAGAGTACAGACACTAGAGTCAGACTGACTTGGGCTCGAGTCCCAGGTCCGTCACTCAGTAACTGTGAGACCCTGGGTGGGTGACGTCACCTCTCAGCCTCAGTCTCATCTGGGAAGTAGCAGATAATTAAATTTCACAGGACTGGCATGAGACGGCCCTTAGCTGCTCTTAGTGGGCTATTGATAAGTGGGCATATAAACACCAACCGAACAAGAGCAGCACCTCGGGCTCCTCACTCTGAACAGGGCTGGGTTTTCGTTTGTTTGTTTTTTTTTTCCGGTATGCGGGCCTCTCACTGTTGTGGCCTCTCCCGTTGCGGAGCATAGGCTCGGGACGCGCAGGCTCAGCGGCCACGGCTCACGGGCCCAGCCGCTCCGCGGCATGTGGGATCTTCCCGGACCGGGGCACGAACCCGCGTCCCCTGCATCGGCAGGCGGACTCTCAACCACTCTCAACAGGGAAGCCCTGAACAGCACTGTTGGAACATGAGAGTGTGGTTGATAATATCAACAGCTCTGATTTATTGAGTGCCTACCATGTGCCAGACGCTGACTGCACCAAGTGCCTTGCATGATTATTCAGTCCCTACAGCCACTCTTGAAATATTATTATTATTCACATTTACACACAAGAGGTTAAGCAACTGTATCAGTCAGAGACTGGACAGGAAACAGAGAACATGTTCAAATGGGGTGTTGAGGAGAATTTAGTAACAGGACTGTTGGCAAAGGTGTAGGCATCACCCTGGGGCTAGCAACACCATCCCTAGCCTGAAGGCACAGGGCAGACGGGTGGCCACTGGATCCTGGAGAGAGTAGGGTCCACCTCGCAAGAGCTGAAACCTTCCATGGAGGGACACAGCCAACCCAAGATGACCCAGCAGGGAAGCAGCTAGAAGATTAAATACCCCTCGTCTTCCTCCTCCCACCTGCTGGTATCTCCCATCATGTGAACCTCAAAGGAACACACAGAGCAAGGTTGCACGTTGGTGGAGTCCACACACACAGGTCAGCCTGCTGGGGCACTGAAGAAGGGGAGAACAAGGCTCTGGAGGGACCCACAGAGGACATCTGGGACAGTGACTCACCCTAATTCACACAGCCAATAAGCAGCCACTGAACACCACAGTGCCCGTAACCACTGCCCCATCCTGCCTCCTTGGATATGATGATGATGATGATGATGATGGTGATGGTGATGATGATGGTGGCTTTGTCTGTGTCCCCTAGAGTTTCCTTCTGACAGGAGGACCAGCCCCAGGGAGCCAGCAGGATCCCAGCACCCACCTCCTAGAACTGAATGAGCCCCTGGGTGAGTAGCAACCTGGGTAGACAGAGAGGCTCTGGGTCCCCATCTCCTGTGGGAGGTGCCTTAGATGGCTGAGAGAGGGTGGGATGATTCTGAGGCTGGTGGGGGGGTCTGTCTGTGCCTGGACATGACCTTACTGGAAACAGGCAGCCCCTCCCTCTTCTCAGGGACACTGTGGGAGGAAAGAGAGGCCCTGAGGGAGGCAGGGGCTGGCCAAAGCTGTCCCTTGAGGTGGAAGCTGAGCCCGGGCCTGAGTCTAGGTCTCCCGAAGCCTGTGTCTGATTGTCCCTTGGTCATTCCCAGCTGTGTGGCTTTGGGAGATAGTTTCTGCTTCTGGAGTCTCGGTTTCCCCCTTCTTGTCAGTGGGGGCCTATTTTCCGTAAGGAAAAACCCCAACGAACTTTTTGGCCCACCCAATATAAGAGTTCATACTTTAAGGAGATGTTTTGAGGACTTGTGGATATGCTGCCCAGGAAGAGCTTAGCACGTGACCTGTTTCACAATAAATGCTCAAGAAATGTCGCCCTTAAGGTGATGCTGGTCCCAGACCACCCCACCCCCGCAACGCTGCAGAGTATGAGACAAGCTGCTTTGTCTGTGTTGCTCTCATCATCTTCCAGCACAACTATGAATAGCCATAGCTCCACCTGAAACCTGCAGGCACTGGCCATGAGGGAGCTTTCCAAAGCACGAATCTGACCCTGGCCTTCCTCTGCTCAAAGCTCTTCTATGCCTCCCTAGCGCCCTTCAGAGAAAGATCAAGCCCCTCATCTTGGACTCCAGTCTCTGCGGGGTCTGACTGTTGCCTCGTCTCAGACTGCACTCTGCTTCACATCCTCCGTTTCAGCCACAGTCACTATCCTTTAATTCATTCTTTCCTTCATGTGTGTAACAAATATTCACTAAACATAGAGTAAGTGCCAGGCACTGTCTTAAGAGCTGAAGACAAAACTGGGAGCAAAACACACGGAAACCCCTGCCCTCATAGAGCTGACATGCTAGTGAGGGAGACAGTCCAGAACAAAGAAACAAATGCAATAAAGAGTACACGTGATGAAAAATAGTGCTACTTGGGAAAATAATGTGTGCAGAGGAGAAAGGAGTTCTGTGGTGGGGGGATTTCCATTTTAAACAGTATGATTAGGGGTGGTCTCACTGAGAAGGTGCCATTTGAACAAAGACCTTGAGGTGAGGGAGTGAGTTGTGACAATTTCTGGGGGAAGAGCATCTCAGGCAGAGGGAACAGCGAATGCAAAGGTCCTGAGGTGGGAGTGTATCTGTCTTCTATGGGGAAAAATCAGGCCAGTGTGGCTAAAACACAGAGAAGAGAGGAGAGAAGCAGATTCCACAGGGCCACTGTGGGGCATTGTGAGGACTTTGAAGTCATCTTGCTTGAGGAGGCTGCCTCAGGGCCTTTGCATATGCTGATCCCTCTGCCTGGAATGCTTTTCCCTCCATTCTTTGTCTAATTACCACATCCTTTAGATCTCAGATCAAATACGACTCCTTCCACAGAGCCTTCCCTCATTTCCCAAGCTACGGTTTGAAACACTCATCACAGTCCACGTTCACATAGGAATTTGTCACATTATTTGATTACTGTCTGTCTGCTCCTCACAGGGCAGGGGCCTGGCCTGTCCTGGTCATTGTGCCTCACCGTGTGTGCAAGGCTGGGCACAGAGCAAGGCCTCAGTACATATTTGTAATTGAAGAGCTAACGTTTATCTAGAGCTCATTCTGTGCCAAGCTTTGTGCTCAGTCTGTTACGTACGTACATGATCCAATTGACGTCCCTCACTGGAATGTCAGCCCCACGAGGGCGGGAAGTTTCATTTATCCTGTTCACTACTGTGTCCCCAGTGCCTGGCACACAGTAGGTGCTCAACAAATATTTTTTGAATGAGTGAATTCTCATGAGTGAAGTAGGTCTAAGTATCCCTGTTTCCCAGATGACCACAGCTCACTGGGCACTGTTCAAAGCGCTTTACGTGGATTCACTCATTTACTCCTCACTGACAGCCCCGTGGGAGGCAGGGGAGGTATTGTTGTTAGCCCATTTTACAGATGAGGTAACTGAGGCACAGAGAGGTAAAGTCACCTGTCCCAGTTCATACAGCAAGTAAATAGCAGAGCCTGGATTCAAACTCAGGTGGCATCTGGCTCCAGGCTTCTTAACATCAGGACACCTGAGATTCAGAGAACAGCACTTGCCCAAGATTTCAGTCCTATTTGAATCCGGGCATGCCTGCCTCACCAGCCATGCTCTTAACTGTCTGAAGACGGGTTGGGGTGATAACTCCCCACTGGTTTACCTTCCATCTTCCCCCACAGGCCTGGGCCCCTCCCTGCTCTCTCTCTACCCGGACGAGGACACCGCCCAGCCCAGGAGCCACTTTCAGCCAGCGGCAGGCTTGGCCCAGGCCAACTGAGCCAGGTCCTCTTCCCACCTCCCTTCTCCCCCCACAAGAAAGGACGTCAATCATACTCCAAGCCGGCAGCCAATGCACAGGACGGAGGTGCCGGGAGAGGGGCTCCCTCTCTCCTCTCGGTGACCCCCGCCCGCCTCAGGCCTACCTCAGTCCCCACCCCTCTGCCCCACCCCCACTGTCTGGGGGTGCTCCGGGGTGGTCTCAGCTCAGTGACCTCTGGGAGGGGGTCCCTGGCCCCCTCCTGCTTCTCTCAGGACTTCCCTTGGGGTTCTCAGTACCGGTTACCTCATCCTTTTCTCCAATTCTCTTGGCTTTATTTTCGGTAATTAGGGGTGGGGGAGTTTGGGGCTCAGGTCTGCGTTTCTGGGCTTGGGGGAGTATTGATAACCAGAAGGACCTTGCTTTCCATCCATCTTTCTTTCATTCTTATTTTTATTTTTGTTGCTTTCATGATATGTTTTTCATCGCTACGAACTGCCTGGGGTCCACAAGAATGTGGGACCCTGATCTTCCCACCAACTCAGGTGTCAATGGGGACGGCAGGCCTCTGGGCCAGACCTCACCCCCGGCGACTCCTGATTGAGCCCTTAGCCTCCCAAGCGGCCACCCAGCTCTACCCGCCCCTCCGCTCTGGACTTCTGCTGGCTCCTGCCTGACCTGGACCCCGACTCCATAGGTGGTCTTCCTATCCCAGGTGTAGCTTCCGACCTCTGCTTCCAGACCATACCACCTCCAACCCTTTCTGGTTCTAGACCTTGCATCCTCCAAACCGCTGTGATTCCGGATCTCACCGTCTTCTCCTTCTGGACCCCACAATCTCCAACTCTGTCTATCTTTCTACTTCACGCTTTCTAAAGTTGTCTGGTTCTAGGCCTCACAACCTCCAACTCCCTCAGGCCTAGGACCACCAGAACCCTCTGGTTCTAGAGCTCACGCTCCGCCTTCCTCTGGTTCTAGAGCTCTCCCCACAGGTCTCCCTTCTTCTCAATGGCACATGCTCCTACTCCTGCTGATTCCAGCTCTTACAACCAGATTTCTTCTGATTTTGGAACCCCACATCCCCAAGCTTGGAATTGGTTCTAGTCTTCCTGATCTGTAACGCATTTCGTTCCAAATCTAGACTTCGTGATGTCTCAATCATTTTGATTCATGATGCCCAGCTCATCCCTTTTCAACTCTACACTCGAGACTTGCTTCTCCCATCAAAAAGAAGTAAAATGGGTTTCATGTCTTGACCTTATGGGTTTCGTGTCTGGACCTTTCAGAACCAGACACAATGTTCCAGTTCTCTTTTGCTCTCGACCTCATCATCGCTACCACTGACTGGTCCTGGACTATACAACCTTTATACTTTGCAGTTTCCAGGGCCCTCTGATTCCAGATCTGATGATCTCCCTTTCTTCTGGTTCTAGTAATGGGCTTCAAATGTCTTCTGATTCCAGACCTCGTCCTATAAATTTCCTTGATTCTAGACCTCACAATCTCCAATTGCCCCTCATTCCACATCTTATGACTCCAAACTACCACGTATCTAGAACTCAGCCTTCAAACATCTTCTGATTACAGACCTTGCCTTATAAATTTTTCTGGTTCTAGACCTTACAGCTTTAAATTCCTGATTCTAGACCTTACAACTCCCAAATCCCTCTGGTCCTAGAACTTGGTCTTCAGACTTTTTCAAATTCTAGTCCTTACTCTGTATCTCTGGTTCTAGACCTCACAGCGTCCAAGTGCCTCTATTTCAGATCCACATTCTTTTGGCTCTAGAACTCAGCCTCCAAAGGCTTCTGATTTTAGAATCTGGACCTTGCCCTGTAGATTCCTCTAGTTCTGAATCTTAAGACCTCTGACTCCCTCACTCCAGACCCCACCCTCCTAACTCTATTCTGGGCTTCCCGCCCAACTCAACTTGCTCTAATTACTACTCTCTGCCTTAAGTCTTCCCATTCCAGATCCCTACCCTCCAGGTCCTTGAGCTAATGGACTTCATGCTCAAGCCTTTCCATTCTCAGTCTCATATCCCTAAAAGTTCTCTGTCCTAGAACCCCCTCCCTCCCCACCTCAGCCCTCAGATATGTACTTACTATTACTTAACCCCAGGTATCTGGGGAACCTGGGGCTCCCTCACAATCCAGGTGACTTCCCCAGCCGCACAGGCACACGCACAGCCCTATCTGCATATCATGGGGTGGGGAGAGAGGCCAGGACTCCTCAGTACTCCACCACCACCTATGTGTCCCCGTCCCCTTCCCCCAACCTTCTTTCGACGATGGTGCTATTCTCGGTCTCCCACAGGAAAAGGCCTCCCTCTCTCAACCCAATTCACCCCCTTTATGGAAGGCACTTCTCACTGTTTTGTCAAGGGATGGCCTGTCCAGATCGGTGCTATGAGGGGAAGGGTCTGACCCCTCCCTCTCTCAGCGGGTGACCTAGGCCCTCTATGGAGGGAACTGTGTGGGCTGGGGGAGGGGAAGGGACTGGACCAGCCATGCTGGCTGTGAAACCCACTGATCTCTAAACCCCCATAAAGATCTCACCTTGGTAGGCACCAGAGCTCTGTGTGTTGACTCATCTGTGGGGTCGCTTCAGGGGGTGGGGGTGCACCGGCTGACTGGGTGTCCATGTCACTTTGTGATATAGATCTATGTAACGTTGTGTGTCTGGTGATGTTTTCATTCTGTGTGGGTCATTGTGACATAATTCTGTGAACCTGTGTGTTGGGAGGGTTGTAATTCCTCCTCCATGTGTTACTGTCCGGGTGAAATGGTTCAGCCTTATGTGTGTTTCTCATTACTGTGGATTTCTGTGTTCCTGAGTGTAGGAGGCATTAGGATTTTTTTTTTTTTTTGTACCTGTGTGTTGTCTGTGTGGTGGTGTGATTCTAGATGCATGTATGGGACTGTGTGACAGTATAATTCTGTGTATTGTCTCTGTGACATGATTCTCTGTACTTGAGTGTGTGTGTGTGTGTGCGCGTGCGCACGTGCCAAAGAGAGATTTTGTGTCTACAGCTTCCTGTGTGGACGGGTGTGCCTGTTCTGTCATGTCACCCTCATAACCCCTCTCCTATGTTCCACAAAGTAATCTTTTCAAAGGAAGAAAACCACTTTTAGGAACTCCCTGGTGGTCCAGTGATTAGGACTTGGCACTTTCACTGCCATTGCCCGGGTTCAATCCCTGCTTGGGGTGAACTAAGATCCCGCAAGCCACACGGTGTGGCAATAAATAAATAAATAAATAAAAATTTTAAAGAAAAGAAAGCCACTTTTAAGCCTTCGCACTTGCTGTTCTCTCTGCCTTAAATGCCTTTCTCTCTTCTCCCCTCTCTTCACCTGATTATCTCCTACTCATACATTAGATCTTGGTTCAGACATTCCCTCCTCCAAGAAGTCTTCCCTGCCTACCTCAGCTGGGTGAGGTCCTCCCACAACCTGAGAGCTGCCCGCCCCACCCCCCCATCAGCTCTAGGTACTCTGTCCCACTTTGAGTACTTCGGAGTGGATATAAAAAGTACTTACACTGTGTCAGGCCCTCTGTCACTTTACTTACGTGATCTTATCAAACTCTCCTCTAATCCTGTACAATAGGCAGTTATTATCCCCATTTTGCAGTGAATGAAACTGAGGTTCAAAGAGGATGATCACTTGCCCGAGGTCACACAGCAGGGAAGGGCTGTGCTGGACTCGAATCCAGGATTCAAATCCATTATGGCATTCTTCCCACACACACCAAAAAAAAAAAAAAAAAAAAAAATCTAACCCCCAGCGTAGGCTCTGGAGCATACAGGAACAGTAGAGTAGAAATTAAGAGCACAGGAATTAGGTGGGACAGGTTCAAGTTCTGGCTCTGCCACTTTCTTATTGTATGACCTTGGGCAAATACGTTGACCTCTGCAAATCTCAGTGTCCTTATCTGTAAAGTGGAGACGATACTAATATTTACCTTCTCGGGTGATTGTTGGATGTGGTAGGGTCAGATTGCCAGGACAAGAAGTTTTGGGGGTGGGAGAGCTTGTGCTATCTCCAGGAGGGGAGCCAGAGCAGGGCCTTAAAGGATTTAGTGCTACAATTCGGCATTGAGTAGCGGCTGTGGGTTTAGGAAGGATAGTCTGGAATGGGGTACCGTGAATGAAGATTGGGGATGGGAGTGGCATCTGGAGATGTTGCCTGAGACTAATCTACTCAGGGTCTCTTAGATCATCAGAAAAAGTCTGGGTTTTCTCCTAAGGGCACTGAGGAGCCATGGAAGGCTGGTGAGTGGGGCGTGAGGAAGGAGAAAGGAGATGATGCAACAAACTTCTAAGCCTAGCTCAGGGTTAGGGGATCCAGGGCACCTTTAATTAATAACTTAGAAACACTGGCCCTTTCTGGTGTTGGTTTGAGAAACCGCCCATTTTTCAGAGAGGGGTAAGTGAGGCCCTAGAGAGGAAGGGAAGATTTCTTTGTTTAAGGTCACGCAGGTAAACTGACAGAAGGGCTTGACCCCCGGCTCCGGTTCCGCGTTGGGCATGGTGGTGCCTCGCAGAAAAGCCACACCCACCAGCAGCATTCGCAACCCACCTACCAACGGGAGAAGACGGCAGGGAAATCCCACTTTAAGACCCCGAGAAACTTCTGCGGCTCGGAACATGGAACTTTGGGAGACGGGGCCACGCCGGGCCTTTTTTGCCCGCGCGCCCCTTTTCGCCTTCCCCATTGGCTCATGCTAGGAAGGGCGCCGTCAGGGGGCCCTCTGGTCACCTTCTCCGAGCGCTCTATGGCTAAAGCGCCCTGCGCAGGCGCGCGAAGGGAGTTTTCAGGGCCCGCGCTTTACGACACTTGTGCAGCAGCGGCAGCGGCAACTCGGCACTCCTTCGCGACGATTCGGCCGGGTGCCGCTGGCCGCGGTTGCCAGGGTGGGGGGTCGCTTTGCGGCATGGCGATGGCGGAGGGCGAGCGGACTGAGTGTGCTGAGCCCCCCCGGGACGAGCCCCCGGCTGATGGCGCTCTGAAGCGGGCAGAGGAGCTCAAGACGCAGGCCAACGACTACTTCAAAGGTACGCCCGCCCTGGAGGGAGCGAAGGAGGATGGAGAGCGGCCCAGGTCAAGGGGTGCCGGGCCCGCGCGGAACCATGGCAACGAGGAGCGCCAGCCTGGGCGCGGGGCAGGCACTACCAAGTGACTGGGCGTGGGGAGGCCGAGGATGGCGCTACCAAGGGGCGACAGAGGGGCCTTCTGAGAGAAGGGGTGACACCTAGAAGTGGCGTACGGAGCGGGTGCTAAGTGGGGAGACTGAGGAAGGCGATTCCAAGTATGAAACGGGAGGGAGACGGGAATGAGGGCACTACCAAATGTGAAACCCCAGAGGTGCCAGCTTATGGTGAGATCTGAAGAGGGCGCTACCAAGTAGTGACATGGGGCGGAGCAGTGATGGCGCTACCAAGTGGAGAGACACCAAGTGGGGGGGAGGGGGGAACTGTCCCAATAGAGCAGGAAATCATGGGAGTGGAGAATAGATCATTAGATGGGAGGGAAAGGAAGTAGGAGATTTGGGGTTACACCAGGAGAAAGGAGGTTCTGGGAGTAGAGGTGAGGCAATCCCAAGAATAGTATGACTTAGGATCTTGGGAAAGAAAGGTGTGGGGGCACCCATTCATTCATTCATTCATTACGTTTATTGAGCATCTGCTATGTGCTAAGGATCATGCTCGACGTTAGGGATGTAGCAGTAGATGAGACAGATGTAGCCGTACCCTTATATAGCTTGTAATTTAGCAGAAGACTCAGACATTGAGTAAACACACAGATAAATATTAAAATACTTAGAAGCTGTGATGAGTCCTTTGGAAAAACCCCAATGTAGTGTGAAGTAGAGAATAAGGGTTAGAGGCTAGTACTTTAGAGAGGGCGGTCAAGGAAGATCGCACTGAGGAAAAGGCATTTAAGTTGAGAAAGAGAATTGGGAAGGAGTGTCCCAGGTGGGTGGAGCTGCCTGTGCAAAGGCCCTGAGGTCGGGAATGAAAAGAGACTGGCTGGCTTGGCTGGAGATTTAACGAGTTAGTAGGGAAACAGGTACAAGATAAGCTTAGGACAGGGGCCAGTTCCTGTAGGGTGTCGCAAGTCACTGCATAGACTAGTGTGGATTTGACTCTGCTATCCAAGAGGAGACATTGAGTAGGTAGACGGGCCAGTCTGGAAGTCTTTGGAGAGGGATTTGGGTATGATCAGCCTATGGGTGGACTGGAACACCCTGGGAATGGATGAGGTCACCTCAGAAGAGAAGGGGCCTAGTACGGAACCTCAAGGGATTCTAATGTTTAGGACAGAAGAGTGGTCAGTGAGGTGGAAGGAAAATCAGGAAAGTTGAGAGAAGAGAGTGCATCTAGAAGGAGGGGCTCTACCTGAGGTCGGATGCTGCCAAAGCGAGCACCGAGCATTGACCGTGGGATTTGCCTCCATAACATGTTGGTGGTCGCCTTGACCAGAGCAGTTTCTAGGGGATGATAGCGATGGTAGCCAGAGGGAAGGGCGCTGAAGAGTGAATGGGAAATGAGGAAGTGGAGACAGCAATTGTTGACAAGGGTTTTGAAAATTTTGGTTCTGAGGGGGAGTGGAGAAATGGGGGGAGGGTGCTTTTTTTTAAGAGTAGAAGAGACTAAGAGTATGGTCCTACAGAGAGAGAGTTGATCTTGCAGGAGAGAGAGGAGACCTACAGCAGCAGAGCCCTGGAGGAGGGGTGGGGCATGGGAGGAATCCAGAGCATTAGTGGAGAGCTGTCCTCTGGTGGGAGCACGAACAGATTTTAAGAGTGGGAAAGTCAGGTCAGGCCAGAGCAGCGAGAAGGAGGTGGGGCTGGTGAGAGGTGAGGCTGGAAGGTAGAGCCCTGGAGGCAGGTCAGGGACGTGATCCCAAGGGTGGTAGGAAGCCAAGGAAGGTTTGAAGAGAGGAGCAACACTGTCTGATTAGCACGTTTGAAGGCGATCCCCCAGTGGCCTTGTAGAGACTGGACCCAAGGGCAAGGCTGGAGACCAGGAAGGAGACTAGAATGGTGGGCAGGTGAGTGGGGAGGGGGGTGGTGCCCGCTAGGCTGGAGAGACGGAAATCGACTCAAGAAATGTTTCAGAGGGAGAATGACAGCGGCCGCCTGGAGAGAGGGAGGAGGGAACCCCAGGCAGGAAGAGCTGGATGACAAAGGCCCAGAGGTGAGCCTGGCACCAAGGAAGTGAGTGGGGCTGGAGTGTAAGAGGCCAGAGGAGTTTAGGTGAGGCTGCAGGCAGGAGCCCGAGCTTTCCACTTGAGGACCCCGAGGAGCCGTGGATGGTTCTGAGTGGGGAAGGACTGGATTGGGTTTGTGCTTCAGGAAGGCCCCTCGGGAGCGGCAGGAGGGGGCGTACGCTGGGAGAGCTGGGAGGAGGCTGGGGCAGGAACCTGGGCAGGAGAGGGTGAAGGCCAGACCAGGGCAGAGAGGGGTTCTCGGGGTGGAAGTGAGAGAATAGATTTGAGAGATGTTCCGGAGGCTGCCATGACAGAACAGGGTGACTGCCTGGCTTTGGGGCTGGAGGGACC